GAACCGCTGACCTTAAGGTTCGCAGCCCGATTCGTAACCACTACGCTACCAGAGCTCCAGGGTTGATATGTGGCAGAACTTAACCACAACAATAACATTATTTTTTCATGCCTTCTGAACTTTGGGTTTAACCATACAAATACATTCTGCTTTGACCAATGGAATGTTAATAATGTAAACTGAGTCGGAAACTGTGCTTGTACAGATGGGCTTACACTTTCACTCTCCAGTGGTTCACCATGAGACGTCCACACCATGGGTACCATTTCCCAGTAAACCTGGATACCAGAAGGAACGCAATTGCTACAGACCTAAACCCAACTCACAGCATGATGCAGTGTTACCCACCTGAGAGTAGCCTAGATCTACTAAACCCTTGCCAACACACAGACCTATGAGCACTAAGATAAATACTTATTGTTACACATCCTGGGATTTCTGTTATGCTATATGGTATGTTATACTATATGTTATATGCTATATGGTAACATATTGTCAGGAGGGAGCAGTCGCTGGAGAAGGATATCATGTTTGGTAAGGTGGCGGGTCAGAGAAAAAGAGGAAGACCCCCAATGAGATGAATTGGCCAAGTGGCAGCATCGATGGACTTAAGTGTGGCAACAATAGTGAGGTTGGCCCAGGATCGGGCAGTGTTTCTTTCTGCTGTATATACGGTCGCTATGAGTCGGTACCAACTCGATGGCACTTAACAACGATAACAATATGGTAACATATAACATAAACATGGCCATTTTAAATCTTGTTCAAGCATATAATTAAGTGCCATTAATTATAATTACAGTGTGCAACTATTGTCATTACTTTCAAATATTTTCATTCCCCAGAGAGAAATTTGCTACCCATTAAGCTCATGCTGTCCTCCCCTCAAACTGGTAACTACTAATCTCCTTTGGTCTTAATACATTTCCCTCATCTAGATATTTCTTATTAGTGGGATCATATATACAAGGATCAGTCAAAAATTAACAAAATGTGCAACTATTGCTTCTCGGCATATCCTCTATCTAGGCCTATGCACCTTTAAAACAAATTGTTTTTAACTTTTTATTGTGAATTGGGTGAAGGTTTACAGAGCAGATCATCAGTTTTCCATTCAACAGTTCATACACATTTTGTTTCACCTCACTGATTGCAATCCCCTCAATATAGCATCACTTATCCCATTTCCTCTTGGTGATTCCTGTTTCCATTCCTCCTTCTTTCTTAACCCTTCCAAATTTTGTTCCTGGGTAAATGCTGCCCTTTTGAGTTCAAAGAGTTGATTATTCCAAGGTGTACATATCTCAGTTGTATTATTGTTCCCTCTATAGGCCTGTCTACTGCTTGACTGATAATTGGTCCACGGGGGTTAGTTCAATTCCAGATCTAAAGAAGGACTAAAGACCATAGTCTCAGCATTCCACCTGTCTCTGCCCAAACAGGAAGCCTGGTCTTGTTTTTTTTTTTTAATGATTTTAAGTTTTATTTCATATTTTCTCCCACTTTATCTAGGACCTTCTAATATGATCACAGTTGGTAGTTGTAGCTGGGCACTATCAAGTTTTTCTGGTCTCAGGGTTGTGGAGACTGAGGTTCATGTGGTCCATTTGTTTATAGGACTAATTGTTTCTATGTGTCTTTGCTTTTCAGCACTCTTCTTTCCTCCAGACAGAAAGAGACCAATAGTTGCACCTTAGAGAGCTGCTCATGAGCTTTTAAGGTCCCAGTCACAACTTCCCAAAGTAGAATGTAAGGACACTGTCTTTGTAGGTCTACATACTTCTGAAGGAGGGGTTTCCATCTTTGTAACACTTCCCTGAAGAATCCTGTGCTCTTTGATTTATACCACGACAAAATGGCAGCTTGAACATCCTCAAGGGACTCAAATCATGCTCCTTTGAAACACTTCCTGAGTTTTATGAACAAAAAGAAGTTTGAAAGGGCAAGTTCAGGGTTATAGGGTAGATAGGGTATTATTTCCCAGCAAAATTCTCCTAGGACACCTCTTGCTACCTTCAAAGAATGTTTTCCATCTCTCCTTCTTTCCCAACCCTTCTGAACTTTGTTCTTGGATAAATGTCCTTTTGATCTCAGATGGTTGATTACCTCTCTAGTGATGCTATTCAAACATCCTTATAGATCTCTCTATTGTTGGCTAAAATTTGAGCCATGGGGATAATTTCATTTTCAGACCTGAAGGGTAACTAAAGATCTAATAGCAATACTTTTGATGTTTCTCTAATTTTTTTCTTTTGTGTTTGACTTATTTCACTGAGCATAATGGTTTCATTACGTTGAGTTCATCCATGTACATAGCATGAATCATAACTTTATCTCTCTTTACGACTGAACAATATCCCATTGTATGTATATTCCACATTGTATTTATCCATTCATTTTATTTATCCATATTTTCCACATTGGCCATACCATTTTGTATTCTCACCAGTATGAGATGAGCGTTCTAATTTCTCTACATTCTGACTAACACTGTTACTTTCATTTTTTAAAAAAGGAATCTTCATCTTAATGGGTATGAAATCCATTGAGTTTTTAGATTGTGTGTTATGCAGAATTATTGTGGCAATAGATAATGTACCTCCAGCTATAAATAAATCACGACAGCCCTGCTAACATAACATTCAAAAGGTTCAAATAGAAAGTGACTCTTTCATTTAAAGTTTTAATAAAAACTCCCCAACAAACTATCCATACCTGGGCGAATTGCTTGCACTGGCAAGATCCGGTGGCCGATAAATTTGCCTCCTTCTTCATAAACTGCTATCCTTAGACAGGCTAGAGAAGGAAGCACCACCTACAGGGACATTAGGACACAACTGGTTACAAGAATGAGCGACTCCCAGACAGAATTGTTGTTGTTAAGCGCCATCGTGTCACTTCCGACTCACAGTGTCCCTGTATAGGTTTCAGAGGAGTCTGAACCACTGACCTTGTGATTCAAATGACCTTGCAGTCCAGTGCTTATCCTACAGTGATACACTAGGACTCCCAAATACACTACCAGAAATAATTGGATGGTATTATTGAAAAATGCGTTGTTTTTTTGATTGATGCTGAAATTTCTACATACCCAATCTAAATAGGGAGTCCTGGTGTGGCACTGTAGAATAAGCACTGTACTGGTAACCACAAGGTCAGCAGTTCAAACCCACCAGCTTCTGCTCCTCGGAAACCCTATCCAGGTTTGCTATGAGTCAGAACTGACTCGACGGCACTTAACAACAACAGCCATTTAGACAGAAAAGCTGTTGGTCTATAATTTAGATTTCCAAAAGAAGAATACACAGAATAATATGAATTCATTGCTGATCTATAACATGGTCCTAATGAGGTATGAAGGAGCTTCAAAAAAACCTGTGGAAAAATGTTATTAAAAGATGGTGGGATTTTCCCATGAACTTTCTGAAGCCACTTTCTGTATTTGTTCAATACGTAGGATATTTTATTTCTATGTGGAAATAACTCAAGTTCTACATCTAAGTACAAAGAGTTAGTCGTCTTATTACTATGTGAGCACTTAATTTTACATTTTCAAAGTGAAGAACTTTTACACTTTCAAAGCAAAAGCAAGCAAACAAGCAAACCCAGCTTTCAGAATAGCTTGTGAAATACTATTGTGTCTATAAATTTGTTAATTCCCAAAGGAAGCAACAAATATTTATTTCATTTTTTAAAAAGACCTGGAACACAGTTACACATCATGTCAGAAATACTTCAGACTCTCCTTAAAAGTGCCTATTGTCAAATGTCAGATATTTTTCTAAGTGTTTTATAATGTATTAAGCTTTTGGATTATTCATAACAACCTTAGGAAGTAGATTTAACCAGTTTACATGAAAAAACCTGGAACACAGAGAGAACATTTTTCCCCCAAAGATTCCTGATATTATTCGAACTCAGGGAGCCTGGATCCAGGTCCCATGCTCTTAACCACACTGCAATAAGTATCATGAGCACAGAAATCACACAGGTTATACGTTAGATAATGTTTTGTCTTCCCATGGATACTCAAATCATCATTAGAATTAATTAGAGTTGTATGCATGTTGATGAACCAGACAAACATATGTACTCCACTCACTGGATTTCTTTTCAGGGAATAGAAACCATGAATAGATATGTGGAAATATTATGTTGTTGTTGTTGTTATGTGCTGTGGAGTCGGTTCCAACCCATAGCGACACTGTATAGGGTTTCCGAGGCTATATATCTTTATGGGAGCAGAAAGCCTCATCTTTCTCACGAAAAACCACTGGTAATTTCGAACTGCTGACCTTGAGGCTAGCAGCCCAACTCGTAACACTATGCTACCAGAGCTCCTTGGAAACATTATAGTCAGTTGATAATTGTAACCGTTATGTTAAGAAATAGTTCTGAAGTCTCCCACACCTGCCTCTCACTGCAAGTGTTCACGGTAAATGCTGTATCTGCAAAACACTCATCTAAACTTATATCGGTCAAGCTGATTATGTTTATCCCTAAACCAAAAAGGCAAATCAGTTGCTGTGGAGTGGCTTCTGACACATGTATATCCCATGTGTGTCAGAATAGAACCGTACTCCATAGAGTTTTCAATGGCTGATCTTCCAGAAATAAACTGCCAGACTTTTCTTCCAAGGTGCCTTTTGGTGGTGTTATAGATTGAGCTGGGTTACCCAAAATGTGTACTGTGAATCCTAACCCGTATACCTGTGGATGGAGTCCTGGTGTGGTGCTGTAGGATCAGCACTGGATTGTTAACTACAAGAACAGCCATTCAAATACACCAGCTGCTCCTGAGATACCCTAGACAGTCGCTATGAGTCACAACATACTTGACAGCACATAACAATAACAACATACCTATGCATGTGATCCCATTTGGGAAATATAGTCTTGTTTGTTATTTTAATGATATCATATCAGCATGTTGTTGTTAAGTGCTGTTGAGTTGGTTCCGACCCATAGTGACCCCATATATGGCTTCCGAGGAATCGCTGGTGAGCTTGAACCGCTGACCTTGCAGTTCAAACAGCTTTGCAGTCCTGCACATTAACCACCAAGCCACAGCAGGACTCCAGCATAAGGTATGTCTTAAGCCAATCACTTTTGAAAGATAAAAGAGCACAGAGAAAGCAAACAGAAACGGAAAGATAAGATGTCATGTGGAGACGTCTAAGGAACACAAAAGTACTGGTGAAACAGAGACAAGGCACTTTCCTTCAGAAGCTGACAAAGACTTTCCCTAGAGCTGGGGCCCTGAATTACAGCTTCTAACCTTACAAAGGTGAGAAAATGAATTTCTATTCATTAAAGCCTCCCTCTTGTGCTATTTCTGTTACAGCAGCGCTGGACTCAAAATACCAGCCTTTTGGTTAGCAGCGTAGCACTTACCCATTCGCCTCATCAGGAAGTCCATGTTTATCACAGAAGAGGGTAATTGTCTAACCTTATTTTAGCCTCAGTAAAACATTTGGTGACTCCTTCAGAAATGTGAGATCATTAAATTGTATCACCAAAAGGTATACTTTGAGGAGGGTAAACTAAAATGCCAGAGAATCTCACAGGTTTGGCAGGAGCAAAAAGATGCTTTACCAGAGATACTCCCTTTGCAGAAGACTGTTTTTGTAGGTGTTTGGCCCAGACAAAACAAGGATACAAGAAAAGCTACTCTATGTTCTATGGGCTTCACTGTCCTTCTTTATGTGATGATGTATGTGAAGAAGATTGCTTATTAGTGAAGGCATCGAGTTGGACCTGGTGGAATGAGAAAGGGCTTAACTCAATCAGACAGAATCCAGACAAATGGAATGACCAGCTGCTTCCAGGAACTCAAGATTCTAAGGAGTATATACTTTTAACACAAGTACAGACTTACTTTGGAGTCCTGGTGTGGTGATGTGGATTAATGCACTGCACTGCAAGGTCAGTTTGAACCGCAGGTCAGTGGTTCAAGCTCACCAGCCACTCCTCAGAAACCCTATATAGGGTCGCTATGTGTCAGAAACAACTCAACAGCACTTAACAACAACAACAAGACTTTGTGTTGGCTATCATATTATTCTTGACTTTGTATTCTACTTTGTTTGAATTGCAATGAAAATATATCACTGAGCAGTTGTATGATGCAAGAACGTAAGTTAAACTTACATGCTATTCTTGTCTTCCAAAGTGAGGCATACTAAAATTAATTCATTGATTTACAATATAATCCTGAAAATCAAAACAAGGGATCAACAAAAATTTTGTATTGTTTTGAGAATAGCTTTCAAAATGTTATTGCTTTGTGAATGTGTCAATCTCCAAGTTAAGTGGACAAACATATCATGTCAAGAACACCACACTAACCTTTTTGAACACAATGGGTTCTTCTTCCCAGACAGGATTGACTGCATTTCCTTGTGACGTCTTGGTTTTAAATGCCTTCCTCCTTGTGTCCACAGGCAAACCAAACATATCCACTTCCACATAGGTTCCAACTTTCTTATCAGAAAGAAATTGACCTGAAATTATCTAGAAAATAATTAAAAAAAAAAAAAGGCATTTTGATAAAAGCATACCAAAGACAGAAGAAAACAGTTTCAAGAAATAGAATACTGATCACGTATGATGAACCTGAAGCAGGAGCAGAAATCTGCTTCCTACTTCATTTAAAGAGTTGGTTGAGGAATTTGAATTTAAAATGCTGATGGAGGAAAGAGAACAATGAGACAAAGTTGCATTCATACAGGAGGAAACACATATAAATCAACCCAGTATATCATCGCACTTAACCTCATCTGTGGTGGCTCCACACAATAAGTACTGGACTGTGAACCACAAGATTGGTGGTTCAAGCCCACGAGTTACTCCAAGGGAGAAAGATGAGACTTCCTACTCCCACAAAGATTGCAGCCTTGGAAAGCCTATACAGAGTCACTATGGGTTGGAATCAACTCAACAACATCTACCAACAACAACCACCTCACCTGATTAGCCATCCATACAATTGTGGGTATCCTTTGCCTACTTCTAAAACTCTGTATATTGTGAAGCTATGAAAGAAACATATACTCATAAAATATCTCTCATGTCCATCTGATTTTCTAAGCCACTTTTTGAAATCTGAGGGCTTGATTGGGGAGTCTGAAGTAAACGGAGATGGAAGCAAACAGCAAGATTGTCTGCTACTCTAAACCACACACCATACTCAGCATGGTAAGTAAGTGCTCAGTAAAATGAGATGGCAGAACCTCATATAAGTTCACAGGTTCATTCTGGCACTGTGATGTCAAAGTCGGAAATGAAGGCACAACTGATTGTGAATATGCTACATCTGGGGTCCACTTGTAGAAGGAAGGAGTCTGCGGTAGGGTGTCCTGTCCAGACAGAGACCATTAACAGATCCAGGAGAGCTTCTACTCTGACAGGGATAGCAGGGTACCCTTATCTCTAGGATGCGACTGTGTCTCCTTCGCAAATCAACTTACTTTCATGCATCTATGCCATTGTTTCATAATCTTACCCTCTGCCATTGTTTTATAATTGTTCACACTGTCACTGAAGAGTTTTCAAGAAAAATAATAAAAAAGCAAGCAAACAAGGTGAAAACAATCTCATTAGTATGACCCATAGTAACAATTGGCAAAGGTTCTGAAAATAACTTCAGGAATTTATTTTAATCAAACCTGACAGAAATTAAACATCCTTTGCTGGAAATTATTTCCTAAAATAAGTATAACCTTGAAGCTCTAATTCTGCCAGCTTCATTGTTTTTTATATATGGTTTCAAAAGATATATATATATATATATATATAGCTCTGGTAGCGTAGTGGTTACGACTCGGGCTGTGAACCTTAAGGTCAGCGGTTCGAAACTACCAGCTGCTCTGCGGGAGAAAGATGAGGCTTTCTACTCCCGTAAAGATTTACACCCTCGGAAACCCTGTTCAGGGTCGCTATGGGTCGGAACTGACTCGACTGCACTTAACAACAACAACGTATATATATATACGTATATATTTCAAAAGATAAAATTGTGACATTCTTCACTGAAAAATGTACCTTTTTAAAGTCATTGGTATAAATTCACATATGCTCTCAAAAATGGACTCAATGGCTAGGGTAGATAGAAATGAATGAAACTGTTAAGAGTTAATTTCAAATATAGTTTTTTCAAATGCCTTTAAAGTCTAAAAAATTGCATTTATGTTTAAAAATTTTTTTCTTGGATAAGTTAAACAGAAAAGATACAAAACCTATAAAAGCAAATACAATTTTAGCCATAACCACTAAGGACTCATACAGACCATTTAAAGCACTCTTTATAAAAATGAATTTCCCAGTCCTAGTATTAAAAATATTCTCTAACAGTTAAAAGTTTTTAATCTTAGTTGAGCCATCAATTTAAAAGACTGCAGACAAAAATTTGAAATTTGAATCGTTAGGTTGTTATAATTAATAAAGCAACTTTATTTTATTTAAAAGCAGTAGTATGTGTTTGTAAATCGTTGAATACACTGGGAAATTTTTTAAAGTCTTGCCACAAACTTGAGAGATCTTACTCAATAATTTGTAACTTATTGAGTTAGTGGTGCTGTTGATAAGTGCTGTTGAGGCAGTTTCAACTAGTAAGAACCCTGTATCGGGTTTCTGGGGAGTGGCTAGTGGGTTTGAGCTGTCAATCTTGTGGCTAGCTGTCCAGTGTTTCTCCTACACTGCCACACCAGGACTCTTACTGAAAGAACGCTTTGTTCTCGAATTTTGCCCAATGTAGAGACTTTTCTAGAATAAGAAAAAAAAGAAAATACTGACCAGAAGATCTGCCTAATATGGGTCACTAATTTTCATGGTAAATTTAAATGTGGGATTTTTATACCAACAGAAAGAAATAGCTATGGTGAATTTCACCAACTATTTTTTATGAGTTTAAGGTTCAGTTTATCTGAGTTGAAGGTTCAACAGTGGGAGACTCAGTCCCTTTATCTCATATATGTAGTTTCTGAAAACTTTAACATGAATTTTTTTTAAAGTGTTAGTATTGTAAAATATATATATCTATAACATTTTCCAATTCAACATTTTTTACATGTATTATTCAGTGACACTGGCTAAGCTCATTGTATTTCATAATCACCATCACAATTCATTTCCAAATTATTACACCCCTGTTAACAGAAACTGGGAGCCCCGTATGTTAAGACTCTTCTTTTCCCCTTCTCTCATACCTACCTCTGACTACTGTAATAAGATTTGAAAAGAATATTTCAAGATCTATTTTGAAGTATAATACTGTCCATGATAGGATAATATCCATCTACCTACAAGAAAGACCAGTTCAAATTTGTTGTTGTTATGTGTGTGGAGTCGGTTTTGACTCATAGCAACCCTGCATAGTGTTTCTGAGGCTGTAAATCTTTACGGGAGCAGAAAGCCTCATCTTTTTCCTGCAGAACAGTTGGTACTTTCGAACTGCTGACCTTGCGGTTCGCAGCCTGATTCGTAACCACTACGCTACCAGAGCTCCTTTTTATACTACTATTATTCAAATATACAAACTAACAACTAAAACCAGTGATGATGAAATTGAAGAGTTCTCCTAACTTCTTCAGTCTGAAATTGATCAAACATGTGATCAAGGTGTAGTAATAATTACTGGTGATTTTGAGCACAAAGATTGGAAACAAAGAGGAAGGATCAGTAGTTGGAAAATATGGCCTTGGAGATAGAAACAATGCTGGAGATGCATAATAGAATTTTGCAAGATGAGTGATTTACTCATTGCAAAAATCCTGTTTAAACAGCATAAAAGGTGACTATACACCTGGATCTCATCAGATGCAATACACAGGAATTAAATTGACTATGTCCATGGGAAGAGACTGGGGAAAAGCTTCATATCGTTAGGCAAAAAAAAAAAGGCCAGGAGCGGATTGTGACACAATCCATCAATTGCTCATGTGCAAGTTCAGATAGAAATTGAAGAAAATTAAAACAAATTCATGAGATTTAAAATATGACCTTGAACATATTCCATCTGACTTTAGAGACCATTTGAAGAGAAGATTTAATGATTTAGATACCAATGACAAAAGGGCTGCAAACTTCGTGGTCAACAGTTTGAATCCTTTATTCACCAGACTCTCTAATGGAGAAAGATATGGCTTTCTGCTACCATAAATATTGACAGCTTTGGAAACCCTAAATAGAGTCACTACGTGTATAAGAATGAGTATTCCAGAACACTTAATTGTGCTCTTGAGGAACCTGCACATAGACCAAGAGGCAGTTGTTTGAAGTGAACAAGGGAACACAGAATGGTTTAAAATTAGGAAAGGTGTGTTCCAGGGTTGTATTCTTTTACCATACTTATTCAACCTGTATGCTGAGCAAATAATCTGAGAAGATGGATTATATGAAGAACAAAAACAAAATGTGACATAAAGATTAGAGGAAGGCTCATTAACAACCTGCAATATGCAGATGATACAACCTTGTGTGCTGAAAGTGAAGAGGATTTAAAATATTTAATGATGAAGATCAAAGTCCACAGCCTTCAGCATGGTTTGCACCTCAATATAAAGAAAACAAAAGTCCTCACCAATGGACCAATAAGTAACATCCATATAAACGGAGAAAAGTTTGAAGTTGTCAAAGATTTTATTTTGCTGGGATCAACCATCAAAACTCATGGAAGCAACAAGCAGGAAATCAAATGACAAATTGCATTAGGCATCTCTGCTGCACAAGACCTCTTTGAAGTGTTGAATAGCAAAGATGTCAGGTTGAGGACTAAGGTGTGACTGACCCATGATATGGTATTTTCAATAGCCTCATATGCATGTGAATGTTGCAGTGAATAAGGAAGACCATAGAAGAATTGATGCACGTAAGTTATGGTGTTGGGGAATATTTAAAGTACTATGGGCTGCCAAAAGAACAAATAGATCTGTGTTGGAAGAAGTATACCCAGCTTGCTCCATGGAAGTCAGGATGGTCAGATTTTGTCTCTCATACTTTGGACATATTGTCAGGAAGGACCAGTCCCAGGAAAAGGATATCATATTTGGTAAAGTGAAGGGTAGGAGAAAAAGAGGAAGACCCCTAACAAGATGGATTGGCACAGTGGCAGCCACAATGGATTCAAATGTACCAACGATTATGAGGTTGGCATAGGACTGAGCAGTGTTTTCATTCTGTTGTATGCAGGGTCACTATGAGTCAGTACCAACTTGATGGCCCCTAACAACGAGTCAGAACCGACTTGATGGCACACAACAACAAGAAGAAGGATTTAATCATTAATGAGACTAATGTTTGAAGAAGGTGGACCCTTTGCTAGCTCCTAGGTTTTAATGACTAAACTATTCTACTTTCTCTTGCACAATTGATGAGTTCAAGTCTGTGGGGACAATTTTTAAATTGATGCATACCTACCTTAACAGATAAGGTGTTGGCCACTATCCCATCTACAATGCCTTCAGTAAATGGATCAAAATGCTTGTCAGGTCTCCTCATGAACTCCGGCTTTAATCTGTAGCCACTTTTCCCATTGTATTCATACATCCCCATATTTATTTGCATAGCTAAATCTGAATACCAAAATGACAAAGCTTTAGTATGAGTAGTATTTATATTCCAAGCAAGAGAGTAAGAGAAAATTAGCAGCATTATTAATTCTTTGTATTAAATGTATTACTTCCAAGTAAGGTCACTTTTGTGACTGCTTGCCTTTACAAAAGTAACATCTAGTCATGGTAGAAATTTAGGAAATACAGATAAGAAAAACAAACAAACAGTTGTACTCCCTGAATCCAAGCTCACCAGCCACTGCTGGGAAACCCTATACAGGGTCGTTATGAGTCCGTATTGACTCTACGGCACATAACAACAACATATTTAAGAAGCTCTGCTGGTGCTATAGAATAAGCACTGGCCTGCTAACCACAAGGTTGGCAGTTCAAACCCACCAGCCTCTCCAAAGGAAAAAAAGGGGAGACTTTCTGTTCCTATAAAGCTTTACAGCCTCAGAAACTCTATATAGAGTCACTATAAGTCAGAATAGCCTTGATGACAGTAGGTTTTGGATTTATATAAACATATATACAATTCCTTTGAGTAGATATATTTGAATAATTGTATTTAACCAGCCATCTCTGGGTACATTTCTGCTGCTTCTTTTCAATACTACATATAATGTTTTGATAAACACCCTTAGGAAATCTTTAAGTACATCATCAATTATTTTATTAGGAGTTGAATTTCTAGTTCAAAAAAAGTACACACTGGAGAAGGATTTTGATAAGTCTTATTAAAAGACCTTTCAGAAACCTTAAAGCAATTTACATTTCCCTCTTCCTTGTTTTTGAGACAGGCTTCCCCACACCTTCAACAATGGATGACATAGTTCTTCTTCTTCTTGTCTATTTGTACTAAGGAATGACTATCCTTTTTTTTTTTTTTCTAAATGTTAAACTCTTTGATTTCTATCTAGCATAACCAATATCTAATTACACATGGACTTTTCAAGAGGCAAATGATTGCTGCTGAAAGTTTTCCTAAAATGCATCCGTTGTACCACATGAATGGTCACAACAGTTGCAATGCTAGGGTTAAAAAATACATATTAAAGGTGCAAGGAATTTGGGAAGCTGTCAATTGCTCCAGATTATCTGTGCCCTGGAGTTCTGGTGTGGCACTATAGGATAAGCACTTGATCGCAAGGTTGGTTTGAACTGCAAGGTTGGAAGTTCAAACTCACCCACTGACCTTGCAGTTCAAATGACCTTGCAGTCCAGTACATTATCCTGTAGAGTCACCATTTTTAGAGCAGGGGAAAAACCCTGATATTTCTCACTCATGAAGTTATTATAAGTATGACACAAAACTAAATACACATACAGAAAATGATAGCTTTATCTCTCTCTCTCCCCACACACACACAATAACTCCAAGAGTCTAAAAAATTAAAAAATCACATTAGCAAATCAAATCATATATTTAACAAAATAATACCTCATGACAAAATAGATTTATTTAAAAAACAAAAGGATTAACTGTATTAGGAGAGACATTGATCAGATTGATGCACAAAAGAAGGAACAAACACATCTTTTCATATCATATTATTATCCCAGTTGTTGTCAAAGAGATATTCTATAACATTCAGTACAAATTCCTAAAATCCTGTTACTCAACCAAGACAAGCATGTTCTAGCTATGTCTCAGTATGTTAAAAGTCATCTGTCCCAACTCACAGTCAGCATCTCACTCAATAGTATTACAACAGTGACATTTCTATATTAGTGTCAGGATGGAAAGGATGCCCATTCTTAACACTCTTTAGCATTATTCTAGAATGGTCAATTCAAAGTAATAAGACAAAGTTAAAAATTAGATGAATTTAAAGTACTATGATTGTGTATCTGAAAACCTGGAGACACTCTACAGACATGACTTGATTTATTGCACTTTGCTTTATCATTGTGCTTTGCAGGTATTACATTGTATTCTTGTTGTTATGACTTGTTTGTTCTTTATCCTAAGGGTTCTGTGGCAACCCTAAATCAAACAACTCTATGGGCACCATTTTTTCCAATGGTATGTGCTCACTTGGTCTCTTATTTTGGCAATGCTCAGATTTCAAACTTTTTCATAACATTATTGCACACTTACTAGACTACATTAAAGTGTAACATAACTTTTAAAACACTTCGTGTGACTCACTTTCTTGTAATATTTGTCTTGTTTCTGTGATCTGGAACTGAACCCACACTATCACTGAGCAATATCTACACTACCAGCAAAATATACTATAGGTAAGAGCTTCGAACGATGGCTATTGACAAAATACATTTATTTATAAAATGAGTTTACAAATAGCCATATCCAGAACCAATCAGATAAGAATGCAGGGGGGAAACATAATTTTATCAAAAGAAATTATAAATTATTTTTTCATAAATAATTTTCTGATAAATTGATTCTGTTCAGGAACTTGACTGAGGAACTCAATGTAGAAATGTTTAAAGTAAAAAAAACAACAACGTTGTCACTGTGATAGAAACACTTACAAAGATGTCAGTTTTCTTTAGATAAATTTTAAGACTATTGCAATTTTAATTAAAAAAAAAACTTTAATGGGAGAGAAACATCATATGGTTAAGTGATATTAAGTTGGAACAAGGATCCTAGTTACAATGATAAGGGAAAAAAAAACAATAGCAATGAAGGAGAATTTCTACTTTCAAGTATTATGACATATTATAAAGTATTGAAGAAAATACTGTGTTATTGGCTCCAAGAAGGCAGACAAATGTATTAACGTTAAAAAAAAAAAAAAGTAAAGTGAAAAAATGGGCCTAGATTAACAACACGAAAGATTATAAAATTGTTCTGCCATTTCAACAGCATGATTCTTCAGGGACATAAAGAACTGATCTCTTATTGAGACCATATACCTAAATTAAACTTGGATGGGTTAAAGAGTTAATAAGGAGTCCTGGTGTGTCAAAGCCGGATAAACTGCAAGGTTGGCGGTTCAAACTCACCAGTTGCTCCTTGGAAACCCTATACAGAGTGACTATGAGTTGACCTTACTCAATGGCACTTAACAAAGTGTTAAATGGGGGAAAAAAAGAAAGAAATACAAGTAAATATAGATGATCCTGGGCTGGTGAGACAGAAATTATAAAAATAAACCAAAAGTAAAAAAGTAAAATATTAATACATCAAGTCTCATAAAACGATTATTTTCTGTTTAATGAAGTAAAACAAACAATATATTCTTGTATGAAAAGCGTCCTCACAAATGAAAAGGAAAACTGACTGACAAGAGTTAGTTGCCTGAATAGGAGATCTGTAAAACCAGAAATTTAAAACCCAAAACATCTTTAATATGTTCACTCTGATCAATAATCAAAGAATTGAAAGTAAAACAAAAGTGAGCAAGTATCTTTTGCTTGGAATTGTTATTATTTTTATTTTAATGGTAATACTTAAAACAAGATTTCAACTGAAGAGAGGCTGTCTCTCATTGTTGATGAGGATGAATCCAAAGTAATATTTTTGGTGGACAGTTTGGTAATACAAACAAAAAAATGCTTAAAACTTCCACTTTTGCATCCTTGAATACATAATTACTTTTATAATTATTTTTATCACTTAATACAATAATTCTTTAAGAAACTTTTTAGAAAGAATATTAGAAGACAGACTTGACATTTTCTATTCAAGATAGTTCAGAGTATTATTTATAGTAGAGAAAAATCTCAATGTACAAAGGTAGAAAATGGATTTTAGTGCTGGTGTGGTACTTTGGACAAATGCACTGGACTGCAAGGTTGGTTTGAACCACAAGGTTGGCAGCTCAAGCTCAGCAACCGCACCTCAGAAATTTTCTACAGGGTCACTGAGTCAGAACCAACTCAATGGCCCTTAACAGCAGCAACAGCAACACATAGCATTTAAGGATATAGTTTTAATTTATTTTTTAAACAAGGAATAAGTGGGGGGTTGTTGTTGTTATGTGCCGAGGAGTTGATTCCTACTCATAGTGACCCTGTACAGGGTTTCTGAGGCTGTATATCTTTACGGGAGCAGAAAGCCTCATCTTTCTCCCGTGGAACAGTTGGCAGTTTCACAAACCGATTCGTAAAACCCCATAAATGTGAATAAAATGTGCATAGAGAAAAAAAACGAAGACCAGAAAGCCAAAAGTTACCAGTGTTGAATTT